ATTTGTACAAGGGGAGATGAATGATTCCGGTGGGGGTATCACTTGGTCAAAAGATAACACAACGAATCAATTAATTGGTCACTGTCACCAGCGAACTCCACCGTGGTGGTGGGTGTGAGTTTCTTGAAACGACGCGCCGGCTGGAATTGGCATATCGATGCTTCCCAGCAGCGATCGTTTCGAAAGGTTTTTTTCTCGCTCAAGGGTGTGGCCCTGCGCAGTTCCTCGCACGGCACGAAACGGGGTCAGGTCCACCCCTTCGCCAGCGCTCGATCGCTGTTTTCTAAGTGGAAACACTGAGTGGATGAAGCGAGGGCGCCAAGCGGGGGATATGGAGCCGCTTAAATAACGGAATTTCCACAGCGAATGAGTAACTCTGGATCACGTGGGAACAGGAGACCCGGGAGGGCTCCAACAAAGGGCGCGCTTGTGAAGGAGGGAAATGCGCACGCGTGGCCTTAAAGGAATTAAGTGCAATGGAAGCCGCTCAAAAGTGTGCGTTCGTAAGAGTGCGCAGCTGGATGTTCTAAGTGTTTGGTCGGCTTTCCACAAAAAAGGCAGGTGGCAATGCCTAGGACATACCACATATGTCCATGGTTATGTTTGTGACACTCCCATAATTGTATACCCATGTATGCCCAATTGTGCTGTCAGCATTGTGTCATGATGGCAAAGTGTAAAATTAGAAAGCTCACATCATAGCACTGTACCCCTCCACATTTGAGAACAGTCCATGGGAAAAAAGAAAATCTACATTGCTTTATATTTTTATAATTTTCACCTCCACTGTATTTAAATTTTGCTACCGATGTCATGTCACGAGATCAAGTATCCACTTGTACGTCTCACAAAGTGGTGCGCACCCCTCGTGTTGGAGATCCCACAGAGCTACCCTCGAAATCCCTTCTCGTGATCCTGGGTTCACAAAGTAGGTGGAAGCGCTTTCCCACCCACTCTGCCACTGTGAGTAGAGTTTTGCACAGGGCAGGCAAAACTGATTGCCTATTTATTTATAAGTAACACAGCTGGAATTTAGTCAAATTAAGTGCATAAATATATTTATTGTGATTTTTTTGGGGTGTGTGTGTGCAGTCATTGGAGACCTTGCCAAGACCATCAATACGCTTACATGATCCCAGTCATGTGCTGTGAAGAAGGGCCATAGCCTGAAACATCACCTGTTGTCGATGTTCCTTTTTAATGCCCACAGTGTGTTGCCGAATGTGTTGAATTTTCAGCTTAGTCACATGCGACTGCTTGGATTCAAAGCCAGGTTCTCACTGGCACTGATTCAGCACCTGGTCAGCTCGAGAAAGTTAATAACATTTTTTATATTTGCCTGGATTTGAACCCAGGATTTTTTGTTTATCCCTGAGCCACAAAGCCACCTTCAAAACCATCCCCATGTGATGTAAATTGAAAACTGCATGCATGTTGTCATCGTTCAAAGCAGACCAGAGTGTGATGTTCTCATATTTCACATTCAATTATTTTACAGGAACCGCATGAAGCTCATTTGAACATTTATTATCTACACGTTGCACATTAATGACTTTTAAAATATTAATAAAAGAACCCCACACTTGTGCATATGGTCACAATAATGTGATGGGCATAACTGTATTTGTAATTTAAATACCATTCATTTAACACGTAGGCTTCCGCAACCAATATTATCCAAGAGGCTTTTTGGGTTAGATCGCGTAAATATATAAAAGTGTCGTTAAACCCCCAATTAGTAAGGTTTGTCACAATTCTGGCTGTCGCCTGATGAGGCTGCTTGTAATTACCGGCTAAACATCGTACTCGAATTGTAAATGTTGTGGGTTTACGCTCCAGCACACCGGGTGTGCTGAACTAGTGCACGAATCGGTACGTTCTGTTTACGTGACAAACCTTTACCAATTGGCTGTGTCGGGTGGTGGAGGGCTCTCACGACACATTTATATTTATGCGATCTAACCCAAAAGGAACCTGTGTTATAGAAAATACCATTCATGTAATGACAAGGGAGGCTGTAGAATTAACATCAGTGAGCTGATGAATGCCAATTGCTACAGCAGCTTTGGTGCAGGTTTTCTAGTTCCCCGAAAAATCCTCTGTTATCAAAGCAGGTATTTAACTCGAAAGTTTCCATGCCATTCAACCAGACATGACTGACAACTCCTCCAGGCAGAATATAAAATCATCTGTGGTAGATAAATGTGAGAAAAAAAAGCTTAACATAAAATATCTTTATACACCGTGTTTCAAGTGTGTACTATATCGGCATGATCATCATCATCATCACCAGCAGCCATGGTCAATCCACTGCTGGATGAAGGTCTCCCAAAGCCACCACCACTACCTCTCACAATTCTGCGATGTTAGAATCCACCTGGCACTTCAGTGGACGACCGCTCGAATGCATTATATTCCATGTAAAGGTGCTGAAGCATGTGTAGTGTAATAGTGCCGGCTGGTGGACAGCAGCGGAAACTGTGGCGGATAGGCAGTACACACGCCGTTGAGGGTGTGCATGGGGTGTGGGCAGAGTGGAGGAACTAGGGCAAGGGTCATGGAAGACCTCGGTTGGAGGCCCCTATAACCTGCTAGCGGGTTCGAGAAGGGAGGCGCGGTCAGGGCGGGGCCAGGCTGCGCTGGGAGCATAAAAGGAGCCGAGAGCGGCGGGGTCAAGGCTGCCGGTTCTGGGAGTGGACTCATCTCGTTGTTTCTGTCGTCTTGTCGCCGTCGTCGCTAAACGTCTCCGCTAGATATTGCGCTATGTAGTTGGCTATCTCAGTCAGCGCCGTCAGTGTTAGACGGCTCGTGTTGTGTACAGGCTGGGCTAAGCTACTGTGGAGAATGTGCAGACGAGACCGTGGAAGTTGTTAATAAAGAAAGTGCCTCCTAGAAACTGCGTTGTCTCCGAATCGTTAACACTCCACATGTATGTACGAATATCTGTATGTGTGCACATGTGAGTTAGTAAGCATTATGTATGAATATCTGTATTGTGCACATGTGAGTGAGTAAGCATGTATCTACGAATATCTGTATGTGTGCACATGTGAGTTAGCATGTATGTACGAATATCTGTATGTGTGCACATTAGAGTTAGCATGTATGTACAAATATCTGTATGTGTGCACATGTGAGTTAGTAAGCATAGTGAGTAGGGTTAGCGTGCTGCACTATAACATGCCGACCATAGTTCGATTCCCGCTCACGGCCAACAACAGTGACGATTATCTGAACAGTTTCAGGGCCTCCCCTAGGTCGACTCAGCCTCAAATGAGTACCTTGTACGGTGGTGTGTAAAAATCGCCACAAAGGCGGTGGTTCTGGCCACCCACCCCTTCGTGTGCCAGGCCGGCCTTCATAGGTGCGCGCTAACAGCACTTGCCTCAACAGTCTGGTAAGGCTATACGGGGGATCTTTGTCTTTATCTGTGTTAGCAAGCATGTACACACGAACAATTCATCCCGTAGCTCCGACTACCACGGCTGGTTACATCCAGTGCGAATGAAGTTCAACATACGCACGTTAGAGACATGAAATGGACTGTGAAGATGATGCCGGCTTGCGCAAGACAAGTCATGATAAAGGATGATATAGCTGGTGGAGGATAAAGGCTTTGGGAGGCTACCATCCAGCAATGGATTGTGGATTCTGATCAAGCAAGAATTAAAAAGCTTGGAGCAAAACACAGACGTGCGGTGAAAAACACTGAACAGCTGCACAGAAAGGTAAGGGACCCTCATTGTTGTGTACTGCCTCCTACAATAGGCTCATTGCCCTGCAGATGTGTTTGTCATGCACCGTTCATCGCTGTGTAATCCACAATAGCCCACGTCAAAAGGCCGAACATTACATAATTGCATTTGTTTTGTTTTACAACTCACATGACCGACATGGCACGGGAAGGCTGTACATTACTTGCGCCTCCGATTATCATGGTTGGCTACGTATATGGTGCAAAAGAAGCCGATACATCTAGCAGTGGATTGACAATGGGCTTCACATAACGATTTGTTTTATAATTATCAAACACATCATTTAGTTGTTGAACTAAGGTTAACATTGTATTGTTTATGTAAAAACAGGCTGGGTAAACCGACTCCATGCGGTGACACGAACGTGTATGGCCAATTTACTGTAAACATATGCCGTGACATACGCACACATGGATTGGGTGGAGTAGTGGCACAGTGGTTAGCACGCTGTGCTGCTGCGGCCGGCATGAGTGGCAAGTGACCTCCGACATCATCCTAGCTTCTTCTCACATTCACTAACCCGCACTGACCACTGTGGTGAAGTATGGTCAAAATACACACCCAAAACCAACAACGGGAGTCCTTAATCCATTGGTGGATTGAGATGAGCTGTAATTAATTTGTGTATGTTGATATACAAACGCACTGGGAGCGATGCACTTCTACATCTAAATTTACAACTCATTTCTTTAGAGCTGCCTTTTTGTGTCTAGTTGGTTGTCCTTCCCCACCACCGCCGATTAGTATGGTTAGCTACATACGGTGCGAAAGAAGTTCAACATACATACTATACATACGAGTGTGGGTCTCTATGGGTTTCTGTGGGTCTCTGTAGTTCTATATGAGTCTTTGGATCTCTGTGGGTCTCGATGGGTCTCTGCCAATACTGTATTAGGAAGCCATTGGAGCTAGACACTCTTTAATATAAATTTACAACGAATTTCTTCAGAATTGCATTTTATGTTTAGTGTGTTGTCCTTCCCCACCACCTACGATTAGCATGGTTGGCTACGTATGGTGCAAAACAAGTTTCAACACACATACATATCAGGACTTCACTAAAATGACACCACAATTTCCTGAATTGGAATTCAATAGGAATAATCTTTCATCAGAAATCATCGTCCCAGCCCCCCCCCCCCACTGAGAAATCTCGGCAGGACCCTCCTGAGAACGAGTCCAGCAGACTCGGTGAGGTGTTCCTGAGTAAACAAGCGTGACAGCAATAATGATGATGATGCTTACCTTGATCAGGTGACTGTTGACCCACTTTGTGAAGGTCTTCTTCTGCACGCGCTCACGCTCATCTGCAAGCAACGTGCGCACAAACAAACAAAAGCCATGAAAAATGAATGAGGGGACCCATAGAAAACCTGAATAGGACAAAGAACATTCATTCACAATGATAATAATATTACCACATTCAAGGTACAGTGAGTGTTATATTATTATATACACCGGCAAAACTGTGGCATGACCTTGTTTAAAGGCAGGGGGGGGGTTGCAGGGGCATGACAGTCAATGCGACGCAACCGTTAAACAAACGCTGAACAGAATGAGTTACAATATGATCTGCTTGCTTCTATGTGCCCTAGATGTCACCACCCCATGTAAATATGTATAATTCGGATTATTTGGCGGCTATACATTTCCACGTGATTAGCCACTTCGACAAGCTACCATTTGTGGCCAGGTCGCTGCTGAAAAAGAAGCTAAGAGCTCAGTGAGCCTTACCCGGTAAAATATAATTTTTTTGGAGATTTGTTTACCTTTCCTACACTGTTCACTTCTGTCTTGTTTTGTATTGTTTGTTGTTGTAACTTTCTGATTCGCTCCTACTGGACATCTTTGAAAAAAGGGCTTCATAGCTCATCAGATTCCACCGGTATGAATAAAGATTCTGATTCTGAAATATTGCACCAACATTTAATGACTTGACTATGAACCTTAATGAGAGGGGTGGAGTCCCCTATACACTACCCCCCTACACTCAACTGATACGACAAGCCTGATATACAGGGCCTTGATTGGGGGGCTGCCCTACCTGCAGAAGGCAGGGCCTCACCTTGTCTCGAGCCTGGAGCTCGCCACAGAACTCTTGCTGATGTCCATTGGCTGAGAAAATCTCTGATCAACGCTCGGTGATGCACCATGTCATGCGTGCCCCGTACAAGTTTTTTTTCCCCCTTTGTCAAATTTTATTTTTTTTCATAATCTTTTACAGATCAATATATAGTATGACAATGACATATTCATAGCTGGATATTACACAGTCCGTCCGTGTAGAAAATGGGGGAGGGGGGGTTAAAACATGTGTACAATATTGAAACCTTGAATACCCATTACCAGCCAGAGCTTAATACTGTTGTGAGACTACTGAAATCACACAATGGCAATGCTTTCTTTTAGCAAGGCCGACAATGTGCAGGCCTGGTGACTCAGATTTGAAAAAATAAATTGGGAAAATTCCTGGGCGAGAGCCTAATAAAATAGCTTCTACACATTTAACTATTTCCACATACGCACACACACAATTGTAAGCCTTCCTTTCCAATTTGACGGCACGAGAGGCATTTTTCTACTTGACGGACTGCGACATGACAGCGGAGTAGTTACAATTGACGATGTCTGCCACAGCAATGGCAGTCACACACATGGACATTGCCATAATCCCGCACCTCGGCATCTTCCCGTCGAGACGTCGCGACAAAATAGCATTTATAAAGAAATGAGTTTTCAATGTAGATGTAATATCGGAAGAGCTTTCAAGATGGCCACAGAAGCACCATCTGAAAGGGAGTGATGCAGTGATCGTCTTTGTTCGATTGCGAGCCAAAGGCGTGATGGTTTATGATCTTTGACGAGATCATCAGCAAGGTATTGTGGTTTATTTGTGGAAAGCACTTTGTGTGTAATGAGCACGATCAAAAGCCCGGGGCGAGTTTTCACTTCACATCACAACGATCGTCACTTGTGTTGGTAATTTGCTCTACTCCAGTTGCAATTAACGAAATTAAAGCGATTGTTAATTGCCTATGATGTAAGACAACTGAAGCAAGTGAGAGGAAGGATAGATTTATTTAAGTTCCTTTAAAATTTAAAATAAACTTTGCTTTATCAGGCACTGTTAATTCACTAAGCCAATTACGTGAGTCTTCGATGTCGCCACATTTTTATCAGCTTAAGTACAAATTAGCATCGCTTCATTGATGAATATGTATTGTGTAAACAAATTACATACTTCAATTACAGCGCAGATTACAGTATTTCATATCAAACAGTGAAAATTATCACGCACTTATTTTACACCTCAAAGTACACATTTCACAGTTTAACTTAACACGTTTAGCTTTACGGTGTTGCCGTACCTTTTCTATAGTCGACAGACTTCAGCACACTGAACATGTTCTGTTCAGCAGACCTTGGCGTTGCCATCATGCGCACGTCTGTGATCCTCAGTGTATGTACGTTGAACTTCTTTTACACCGTACGTAGCCAACCGTGCTAATCGGAGGGAAGGACAACAAACTAAACACAAAAAGGCAGTTCTACAGAAATGAGTTTTCAATCGAGATTTAAAAGTGCATAGCTCCAGTGGCTTCGATTAGCACGGTTGTCCACGCACGGCTACGAAAGAAGTTCAGCATACATACGTACATGAAGAGCGTTCCAGACGGCCGCATTAGCGCATCGAAGGGAAACTTGTGGTTCCAATTTAGATTCGAGAAACTAAGCCGGGAGATGCAGCACCAGTCTGTCCACGCTACGCCAGCCTCTCTACCAAATGCAACACCACCAGTCTCCGAATTTGAAAAAGTAAAAAAAAATCAAAAGGCAACAAAAGGTAACAAACTATTTACTGCACCACCTGCTCTTAAAACAACACATTATTCAAAGCAACTGTAAAAGTAACACGTTGGTATGTGTAGCAAACAATCTAGCGTCAAACCTGAATCTCTAAAGCCTAATTCTGCCTGTCTACTTGCTTCATGACATCTCAAAGCCACAAAAGGGCCTTATATACCAATGTGTTTGCGAAGACCAGTGTGGTGATCATGTGATCAATGAACAATGGCGTTTTGTTTCTTACGCATATGTGAATACTGGGCAAGTTTTGTAAAGAGGCTGTTGTAAAAGGCAAAAGGTGATTCTTCAAATATCTCACGTAGCAAGATGAACGTTGGCTTCGGCCTAAAACTCGAGGAAACGCGCTACAGAAGGCATTGCCCAAAGTAATATTTTATATGGGGTGCTCTTGCCAATGACGTATGATAATTCAACCGCATGTGTTTAAGAAGGTTGACTTATGATGTATATGTATTTTGAACTTCTTTCGCACCGTACGTAGCCAATCGTGCTAATAGGAGGTGCGGGATGAGTCCCAGACGGTTGAGGCCTATACAGTTTTGCCTGCCAAAGCAAAGGCTGCTCGATGACATTGGTCTGGAAAGCCAAGGGGCCGAGGAATTCATACAGATCATTTATGTGTATGTGTGGGAGACAGAATGGAGGGCTGCTTATATTTGGTGGACTGTGGTGGCGTGAGAAAGACACGTTCAAGGCTGCGCCTTGAACTCTTTAGACCTAGCGGGTCACTTGAGTAAATAAACGTTGAGCACTTTTTGTTTTCTGTCGATTGTGAACCACGATGACTGCGGAGAACGGCTAGCAGCAGCATTTCCCTGCGCGCTGGTGGGATGAGAGACCAGCCCTTGAGCGGAGCATTGGCCGCACTGTGTCCAAGAGTTGCTCATTCAAACCGACTACTATATGTCACAATCATGTGTAGGAAATGCATATGTAATAACATGGGGCGGTATATTCACGTCCGTGGAAATTGTGTTTGCAATGGCAATTAATCACGTTTAATTCGATTTTGCCAGTTAATCATGGAGAAATGACAAATCAAGGGGCCCGCTCTGGCAGTGGCGATGGTTCGGAGAGCTCACTTGGCTGGGCATTGACGCGTGAGAGTGAAAATTGCAACCAATTCCCAGTCAGGGTCAACTCATCTCCATTACTACAAGTAAAACCATCCTCCCCTCGTATTCATTCGCGTGGCAACGGATCGACGTATATTCCTACACGGTGGCAGATGCCACGAATAATACAGTGCTAATGTTAATCATTATAATGTTTCTGAAAATATGGTTAATGTTAAGAGGGAGGGCAAACATTTCAAACGTGACTCATATAAACGAATAGACCGTTTTATAAATAAGTGCAGGATGTTTGGCATCGTGTGTTGGCAGATGAGGATGGCATGTGGTGGGTAATGAATGATTGCATGTGCGTGTGTGCGTGCATTCGGGGCATATTCACGCGTGCGTGTGTGCAGGTACGTGCGTATGGTCATTCACGAGTGAGACTGCACGAGACCATGGAGCACGAATTTCTGCAATAGCCTCTTAGCAAGTGCAAAAGTCTGCACTCAAGTGACAGTGTGTACGTGTGCATGTGTCTCGGTGTATGCGTATTCCATTGTGGGGTGCGGCGGTGCAATGGTTTGCGCACTGCGCTATGAGCACGGCCGCTTGGGGTCGATTTCCATCCATGGATTTAAAAAAGGTAAAAGCGCAGCTCTGAAACTGCTTGCTCACGCCACTGCTGGTAGAAGGGCCTCCACTCAAGGGAGCATTCGAGAGCCCCTCATACAGATAGTCCCCGAGTTACGATGGTCCGACTTACGATATCTCGATCATACGATGGCGATACAACAAAATTCTATCAAATTGCAGTTCATATAGGTAGGCTAAGAATTTGCCTTGTTTTTTACTTTACATTTTACTGTGCAATACAGTATTGGAATTAATAAATACATACAGTATATAGTTTATACAGTACGGTACTGTGAATTTCTCTGTTTTACTAAATTATCACCATTCTTTAAGACTCCTGGGTAGGCTAGGCCATCTTCGACTTACGATATTTTTGGACTTACGATGGGGTCGTCGTAACGCATCTCCATCGTAAGTAGAGGACTACCTATACCGGGTATTTGGTCTACTCTTCCACGTCAGCCAGACACTGTAAGAGGTTGGAGTACCCACACTTTACCGCACCACACGCGACCTGCAGATGGAACCGAACTGGCGACCTCTGGACCGCCACTCCAGTAGACTAACCGTTACACACCTGCCATGGATAATGGAAAGTGACATCCAAGCTTGGCCTGTGCCTCATCGAGATTGGTCTGGGCATAACTGAGTACCTGGTGCAGTCTGGGAACATTGGGACTGGGAAGTTCAAGTTTCAAGTTTCATGTATTAGGTATAGCCCTGTGAGCCATGCGGCTCTTGAGTCGGGT